AGTCAATCTTTGTTATTCCTGACTCCCTCGCGAAGAGGAGTCAATCTTTCAATGTTATTCTTGACTTCCTCGTGAAGAGAATTCGATCTTTGTTATTTTGACTTCATCGTGAAGAGAAATCAATCTTTTTTATTCTTGACTTTCTCTTGAAGAGAAGTCAATCTTTGTTAACTCTTGACTTCCTCGTGAAGAGAAGTCAATATTTGTTATTCCTAACTCACTTGCAAAGAGGAGTCAATCTTTCAATGTTATTCTTGACTTCCTCATGAAGAAAAGTTGATCTTTGTTATTCTTGACTTCCTCGTGAAGAGAAGTCGATCTTTGTTATTCTTGACTCCCTCGTGAAAAGAAGTCAATCTTTGTTTTCTTGACTTACTCGTGAAGAGAAGTCAATCTGTGTTATTCTTGACTTTCTCGTGAAGAGAAGTCAATCTTTAGTGTTTCTTCCTTGACTTTCTCGCAAAGATGAGTCAATCTTTTTGTATTACCATTTTGGACTTTCTCGTGAAGAGAAATCAATCTCTTAATATTTTATTGTTTTCCTTTTTGACTTTCTCGTGAATATGAGTCAATATTCTAGTGTTGCCTTCTTTAACTTTCTCGCGAAGTGGAGTCAGTCTTTTATTGTTGTCTTCATTGACTTTCTCGCGAAGTGGAGTCAATATTTTAGTGTTGTCCTTCTTGACTTTCTCGCGAAGATGAGTCATTATTTCAGATTTGGTCTTCCTGAAAAGTAGTGAAGCAAATCAATTCTGATTCAATCTTCCTTGAAGAGAAGTGAAGTAAATCAAAATTTTCACGAGTTTGATCTCCCCCAATTAGTAGTGGAGCAGATTCTTTTTCTTTCATATTTGGTCTTCCTGAGGAGCAGCAAAGCAAATCAATTTTGATTCAATCTTCCCTGAAGAACAGTGAAGTTGATTGAAATTTTTCTCGAGTCTGATCTCCCCTAAAGAGTAGCGAAGTAGATTCTTCTTCTTTCATATTTGGTTTTCCTGAAGAGCAATGAAACAAATCAATTCTGATTCAATCTTCCCTGAAGAGAAGTGAAGTGGATCAAAATTTTCTCGAGTCTGATCTCCTTAAAGAGTAGCGGAGCAAATTCTTCTTCTTCAGATTTGGTCTTCCCGAAGAGCAGCGAACAAATCGATTCTGATTCAATCTTCCCTAAAGAGCATTGAAGTGGATCAAATTTCTCGAGTCTGATCTCCCTTAAAGAGTAGCAGAGGAGATTCTTCTTCTTTCAGATTTGGTCTTCCTAAATAGCAGCAAAACAAATCGATTCTGATTCCATCGTCCCTAAAGAGCAGTGAAGTGGATCAAAGTTTCTCGAGTTTGATCTCCCCTAAAAAGTAGCGGAGCAGATTCTTCTTTCTACAATAAATTTCTATGATTGTGACAAATTTAATTTTGTCAAATTAATTTTGTCACTATTAATAGCTTTTTGGTGACAAATAAATATTTTCGTATTAAATTAAAAAAAAGATATACAATTATGACAAAAGCTAAAATCGTCATAATAATTTATCACAATTAGCAAACATGTGCAACATATGGTGACAAAATAAATTTTATAACGAATTTTTTCACAAATGTTTCCCTCCAATTTTTTGGCGCCAAATTAAAGGCATATAGTGACAAATTTTTGTAACTAAAAGTTTTAGTAACTATGACAGGAAAAAAATTCACAACAAATAATGAGATTTAGATTTTTTGTGACAAATTTTGTTTGTGATTATATATTTTAATTATAGTGACAAATGTATAGTCACAAATGATTATCTCCAATTTTTGGTAAAAAAAAATCATATAGTAACATGATTTGTAACTATAAGCTATAATTATTGTTACAAAAAAAGTTGTCAGAACAATAATGAGATTCAAGTTTTTAGTAAAAAACAGTGTTTGTCGTTATGTTTTAATTATAGTGACAAAAATATTGTCACAAAGATTTCCCTCCATATTGTTTTGCGTTAAAAAAATCATATAGTGACAAATTTTGTAACTATAAGTGTTAATAATTATTATAGAAAACATTGTCACAAAAAATAATGATATTCACGTTTTTGTGACAAATTATATTTGTAGTTATAAATTTTAACTATAGTGATAACATATATTTTCATAATTATTTTTCTCTATTTTTTTGTTTCAAAAGTTATATTGAAATTTTTTATAATTATAATTTATAGTTATTGTTATAGAAAAAATTATCACATCAAATAATAAAATTCAGGTTTTTTGTAATCAATTATTTTTTTACTTATATTTTAATCATTATGAAAAATTATACTATCAAAACCATTTATCCCTATCTTTTACTGTCAAAAATATTATATAGTAACAAAATATATTATCATAAAGATTTTCCTCCATATTTATTTGCACCAAAAAAATCATATAGTAACAATTTTTGTAACTGTAAGTGTTTATAATTATTACAAAAATATTGTCACAAAAAATAATGGTATTCACATTTTTGTGACAAATTCTACCTGTACTTGTAAATTTTAATTATAGTGACAACATATATTGTGATAAATATTTTTCTCCACTTTTTTTGTTTCAAAAAGTTATATTCATAATTTTTGTAATTATAATTTATAGTTATTGTTATAAAAAATTATCACATCAGACAATAAAATTCAAGTTTTTTGTAATCAATTATTTTTGTAGTTATATATTTTAATCATTATGTAAAATTATACTATCATAAACATTTCTCCGTATTTTTTTGTGCCAAAATGATATATAGTAAAAGTTTTATAATTATCGTTATAGAAAAATTATTACAACAAAAAATTTATTTTTTTAATTAATTAATGATTTTAGTTTATTATCAAAATGTTTTCATTTATTTTTTATGAAGCTAGTTTGAAACTTTTTTTCTTAATTATAATTATGTAAATAATTTAATCAAGTAAAGAATTTGAATAATTATGTAAATCTGTAGGCTCCTAAAGTTAATTTAGGGTACAGTTTGATCACTTATTTTTGCATTAAGCCAAAATATAAACAAGATACGTGTCACTTAATGTTTTTTTTAATGGTCGTTACTACGTAGTCACCTAAGAATGTAACTTAGAAAATGTTAGACACCTAAAAGTGAAATGAATAAAACTTTAAGCACCTATTTTCAACGAAAAATTTTTAGACACCTAAAGTTAATTTAGGGTATAATTTAAGCACTTATTTTTGCATTAAGCCTTTAAGAAACTACATGTTATTTAATTTTCAAAAAGGAGTTATAAATATGAATATGAATTTAATTGATGATTCATTAAATGAATGCAATATTTTATAATATAAAAAATAGTAATATTAAAAATAATTAATAACAACAAATAATAAATATAATGAGGTCTAAATTGTAAAAAGATATAAGTTAAATATGAAAAAAAAATAAACTACATGTAAGAATGGAAGGATCAAATATGTATTTTAACCATTAAATGGAAAAGCCCAAAAAATTACGCTCAAATGCCAGGTTCATTTGCGGTGGGTTGAAGACTGGATTAATTCGGGCTTGGGTTGAGCTTACTCCCTCCTTGGTTTTCTAAATTGGATCGGATCTCCTATGCCAAGCCTAGGTCGAACAGTTATGCTTAACATGTAGTACCCGTTCATCCAACAAAATTTGGAATTATTGTGGGCAGATTTTTTAAAAAAGAATATAAAAATTATTTTGGGATTTAGGTCATTGTTATGGTATATGTGAAATTCGTTATCTTTATTAAAGAGTATCATAAAATATATTAAAAAATAAAATTTGTTATATGAATTGGAACAAAACTAAATAAAACTTATCATGTCCTTATAACGAGTTTTAATTATATATTATATTATATAAAAATTGTCATCTCCTCATGACAAAAAATAATACTTTATCATGACAAAAAATAATACTTTATTTGACTGCTAAAACCACTTAATAAGTTAATCTTTTATATATATATATATATATAGGGATGGGTATAGGTCGGATTTTTGGTCCATCCAACTCAACTTGAGAACAAAGAATCCTCCATCTGATATCCAACTCGAACTCAACCCGATATATAACTTAAAAACACGATTTGAACCCGAATTATTTTTAAAAAAACTGATTCGATTGAGTCAGATCGAGTCATAACCCGTCGAGTTCGGTCCTATGCCCATCCCTATATATATATATATATATATATATATGCACAATTATAATCTTGTCTTTTATTCGGTCACATTAATCACTTAACCAACGGTGTAGTCTCATTAAAAGTGTGACGGATTAAGGGAATATAATGGAATCGGGTGAATCGGATAGACGATGTAGTCGGTTAAGGCCGTTTTAGAAGATATAAAGTAACGAGAAACATCTTGGAGAGAACGACTTTAGGGCGTAAAAGAAAAGAAAAACAAGCCGTAGAAGAGGGCTTTCTCTTGGTGTAGCTTATTCCCCACTATATTTACACCCACTACTCCCCTTAACAAAAAAAACTTTTTCAGGTAATTTTCCATATCTAATCTCCATGATTCCTTTTCGCTTTCACTTCTGTTTCTTCATTCATCTAATCTGAAATTTCCATATATGTTTCTGGGCTGCTTTTGAAATATTGATTTTATCTTCTTCTTTTGGCGGTTTAAAGATGGATCGTTATCAGCGAGTGGAGAAGCCGAAATCATAGACACCCATTGACGAGATTGAGATTCGGATTACCAGTCAAGTCAGGATGCGCAGTTACATCACTTATGCCATGACTCTGCTCCAGGTTTAATTTTCTTCTTCTTCGGGTTTGATTGCTGCATATTTAGACCTTTATTAGATTTGGGGCTTTGATTATTTTGAGAAATGTGTTATTTATTTTGTAACCCTTCTGATAGGAAAAGGGATCAAATCAAATAGTTTTGAAAGCAATGGAAAGAGCCATTAACAAGACTGTGACTATCGTGGAGTTAATTATGGTCATGTTTTAACTTTTATCTATGTGAATGGTTTTATTCATTGGTTCTTTATTTTTAAGGTGGCTGACATTTTGCTCCATTTACTTTTAATGTAGAGAAGAATTGTTGGTCTACATCAGATTACATCTATTGGATCCATGGATATAACAGATATGTGGGAGCCTCTGGAGGAAGGACTCCTTCCGTAAGAACCATTTGGTTTCTTGCTGTTCTTTTAATGTCGTTAATATGCTTCGTTAGAGAATTTTAGTAACCTTTGTTTATTTACCACAGTTTGGAGACCACCAAGCACGTGTCAATGATCACTATAACCCTTTCGAAAAAAGAATTGAATACATCCTCTGTCGGGTAAGTTCCTGTACTTGTTTCTCTTTAAAAAAGAAGTGAATGTCAATTATGTTCTTTTTGTTAGTCATGCTTGTTTTTTAATTACATTTTTATGAATGTTGGAAACTAGAGAATATATGCATATGGAAGGTTTATGCTTCTAATGATGCTGGTTTGATGTTTTATTTGACATGATTTATGAATAACTTCCTCATTCAGGTACCAGCCTCCATTACCAGCTGATCAGGTGAAGGCATCCACAGAAATCGATCACGAATGAGGTAGGGATACATTTCATTAGCCCCAGTCCGCACAGCCATTTGTTTTTGGCGATGTTGAATGACTATATTTGGTTTTTATAAAAAAAAATTGTCACAATATTTATCGAAAAAAAATTGTAACAAATTTATTTAATCAAAATAATAATTTATAACAAATATTAATTTCTCATTATAAAAAATTGTGACAAGTAATATTCTTTCACAATAACAAATTGTAACAAAATGATTTAGTCACAATTACACATTACTTTTATCATAGTAAAAAGTTATGTCAAATTTATTTCGTCCCAATATTTTATCAAAAAGAAAAATTGTGACAAATTTATTTAATCAAAATAACAAATTATAGCAAAGATTAATTTCTTATTATAAAATTTTGTGACAAATAATATTCTTTTACAATAACAAATTGTAAAAAAATTATTTAGTCACAATAAAAAGTTATAAAAAATATTTAGTGGCGGAATAAAAGTAGTGAGAAAATAAATTTTATTGTAATATATCTTTTTTGTCACAAAAATCATTTTTGTTTGATGTTATAATTTAAGTTAATTGTAACGAAATTTACTTTTTGTGATAAAATAATTATTTTATTTTAACAAATATTTTATCTCTGTAAGTTACATTTAGCGACGAAATAGTAACTGCGACAAAATGATTGTTGTTGCCTTATGTACTTTCGTCACAAAAATCCTTTATATTTGATGTTTAAATATAAGTTAGCTATGACAAAATGTATTTCTCGTGACAAAATGGTTAATTGATAGTGATAAATATTTTATTGTGATAAGTTAATTATAGTTATGAAATTTCATTGTTACAATAAATATTATACAATGGTAACGAACACAATTTTGTCACAATATACTTTACATGACAAGGTTGTTCTAACAAACATGGTAACAAATAAAATTGGTCAGAATAAATATATCGTGACAAATTTAGTACTTTTAGTGATAAATAATTTTGTTAAAACAATCGAAATTTCTTGTAGTACATATTTGGTCTTCCTGAAGAACAGCAAAGCAAATCAAGTTCAATTAAATCTTTCCTGAAGAGTAGTGAAGTGGATCGAAATTTTTCTCAAGTTTGATCTCCCCTAAAGAGTAGCGGAGCAGATTCTTTTTCTTTCAAATTTGGTCTTCCTGAAGAGCAGTGAAGGAAATCGATTCTTATTCAATATTCCCTGAAGAGCATTGAGTGAATCAAGTTTTCTCGAGTTTGATCTCCCCTAAATAGTAGTGTAGCAAATTCTTCTTCCTTCATATTTGGTCTTCCTGAAGAGCAGTGAAGCAAATCGATTCATATTCAATCTTTCCTGAAGAATAGTGGAATGAATCAACGTTTCTCGATCTAATCTACCCTACAGAAACAGAGGAGCAGATCCCTTATCGATTTTCAAAGCACGGAGATGGAACCGAACAAAAATGCGTTGTTTTTATCTTTGCCCTATTCTTGTTAACACAAGAATGGGCATAGAGGGGCAGCTGTCGACACCCGTTTTAGTCCGGAGATTCGTTATTATTATTATTATTATTATTATTAACTTTTAATTTTATTTTCTTTGTAGGCCATTACAACAACCCCAACGGAGCCCAAATTACATTAACAAGCCTAACAGGGCCAAACAAAAAAGCCGCCCAAATCCAGCCCAATAATTTAAGATCTGAAGCCCAAATGATGGCCCGGTTACAACCTGACCCGAAAGTGGTTTGATCTCCCACGTGAAGCCATTGTGCCATCACTGTAACACCCCCAACCCGGATCCGACCCGGATCCGAGTCCGATGTGTCACATTAACTTTCCAAAGCATTTACTTTTATAAAATGAATAAAATTTCTTTTAATATTCATTATAAATTGAATTTTATATATCATATAAAACATATGCTTTTACTAAACTTATCATAGCTCACTTGATCCAAATTTTTAATTACATGCCAACTACTTTCAATAAAACAAAATACATAGTTCAAAATGTTTTTCTGATATGATCTTTGGGAAGGAAAGTCTGACCTGTCTTGCTCCTCTATCTCCTTGAAACCTATATGTGAAACACTCACACGCTAAGTCGATGACTTAGTGAGGCATTAATAAACTTATATATAAAATCTCAATTGTAATTCCTACTATGCACACTTCATGTAATCATACTAATTTATCAAACTCATTATGCATCAAAAACATAAATACATACATATACATATCATACTAACCCATATATTCTTTTATGTAATAATTATACTTATGAACCCATAGCATCATTTATATTCATAACCTTATAATATATTATCATCGTTTATCCCTTTTTATCTTATCATCTTATTTTTATCTTTAATACACATACACATCATATAATATCATATCACCAAACAAACATATAACATCACCCAAACGTTTCTCATATTGTATCTTTAATGGCCCATGTACACATGTGAGAACTATAGATATGTGAGTCTATAGAGGTTGTGCACTAATGTTGTCACCACAGCTCGTATAAATGCACTGAAGTTCCACGTAGGATTGCACCGAAGTACCGCGTAGAAATGCATCGAAGTGTCATATAAAATTTCCATAAAGACCACATATAAATTCTTTAAGAATCATATACATATGCCAAGGACCAAGTATGCGTCTCAAATGACCTCATAAATGTTCCAAAGTATACATATATGTCCCGAATGACAGCGTGGGCCCTCGACTCTTGGCATGCCAACTATACCTCTAGTTCTCGTGACACATAACATGGGCACTAATATTTATGTTATCACACATTCACATATACACATAGTCTCATAGTTCTTTCACATAGCTCATTATCACATTTTCATAAGATCACACGTAATCACGTAGTTCATTTCCATATAATTCACATGTACATATACTCATATAGTTGTTATCATTTCTCCTATAATCACATAGATCACGTCTCATAACATACATCATGTACATATAATAACTTATATCACATCATTTATATACTAATTTCATATATTTACTTAGTTCAGTTTCACATAGTTTATCATATATACATGTCTTCTACTCATACAATCATATATTCAGAATATCGAAAACATGGTTATCGCAAGTCTAATTTCTATATACAATACGTATATTTTAATAGTATACACACACCTGGCCTCACTATTCAATATCGACCTCTTATATTTCCCTCGATCAATCTTACTTGCCAAATGTTCAGGAACTTGTTTAGGCTTAGCATCTACATAAATATAATTTCCAAGATGAATATCAGAAGCTTAAACATTATAATTCGATGCTAATAACTTAAGCTAACTTAATGAGAAAAATTCATATTTTCCTTTTAGGAGGGTATCGGTACACTACTCGGTATCGGTACCCAAATTAAATTCGACGTTTACAGGTATTGATACCTGCCTGATTGTATCGGTACCTATGGTATCGGTACCCGTCCTTTAGGTATTGATACCTCATGAAGATGTTCTTCAAAATTGGTCTTATGGTATCAGTACTCATTCATAGGGTATCGGTACCCCTTGCCCAGAACAGGCCAATTCACCCGAAAAATCATCAACACTTCACCAAAAATTCCATACTAAAGCCCCTTTCATACCACCAAACTCAACAACAACCATTTTAACTATCCTTTAACTTCTTAACACTTTAAAAACTTGAACATCTCATTCCAATTCTTGAAACTAAGAAATTTATTAAGTTTTCCATATAATCCAAACTTAGTTCTAACACTTATAACTTTTTATTCACACCTATGGCAAGTCAAATTCAACTTCCAAATTCATTTAAACTATTTTATTCAAAATTTCACTTAAAAACTCTATTTACTTAATCTCTCCTAACATATCCATCTTTGAATTTTTACTTATCTTTAAACTTCCTTAAGCTTTCTTACTATCCAAAGAATCAAAACCCATCATAAAATTAATGAATAATCAACTTATAAGAAACTCACCTTGCAACTGAGCTCACGGGAAGAAGAAGAAGAAACAAGTTAAACCATCTTTCCAGACTTTTCTTTCCTTTACTTCCTTTTCCACGTGTTATATCCTGTATAAAGGAGAAATAAAAATCTTTCTTATAAAATTACCATTATACCCTTCAAACTTTCCATAATTACCATTTAATCCAATACTGAAATATTCTTATTTAAGCCTTGAACTTTTAACTTGTTTCGAAATCGAGTATATAGTTTTCAAAATTTGTAATTTAGTCACTAGCCTTGATTTGGGATATTACAAATCTCCCCTCCTTTAAGAAAAATCGTCCTCGATTTTTCACTGTATTAATAGATACAAATATTGTCTACACCTATCTTATTCATATTCTCATGTTGCATTCTCAATTTAATCTTTCGTATTATCATTAATAACTTGGCTTTTATCACTACAACTCTTCAACTACCTTTTTCCTTTATACATCCATATCATATCGCTTAGCATATCGACAGTAGCATCAGTTCTTATCACTCAAAATCATAAATCAATCAAATTCCTCATAAATCTTTAATTGCCTTGCAATAATAACCAAACTTTTATTCCATCCTTACTTGACTGCCTCTAAAACTTCCTTAATACATATAAATCATTCTTTACTTCTCTGACTACGTCTACTTGACCAAGAAAGATAACCCTATATCTTCATCATAGATGATTAAGACATACACTTTGCATAATCAACCAATCTCTCATATCACCCAACGTACCTTTCTTACTTCTAGTCAAACTTATAATCTATACCTCAACATAACCTTTATCACATCTGATTCTTTAAACTTCATCCTCTCATTTCCTTATTCCATTATTTTCCATAAATCAAAATCTCCTTATTGCATAACTAAACCATAACTTTCACCCATGTTCTCATACTCTTCTCATATCACTTATACTTATCTCTGATTACCCCTCTTTATCACATTTTCATGACTTTAACAGTCAACTTTACTTATACAGAACCTCATTCTTGATCATTTCTTGTACTTGTATTTCCTTCAAACATACAAATCCTTATATTATT